CTCTTTCATCTTGCTGAGAAGAGCTCCAGAGCAGGCAACAGCAGGCCATACAATGAAAGAGTCTAAACCAATTTACAGAGGGTTTCCCAAGCACCAGGCAGGTTCTGTGCCTTGGTCTGTACTCTGAAAAAGATTCTTCCAGTGGCAAAAATGTTTTCTACATTTTCCATAGAATTGTAAAATTGGACACCCTGACTTAAAAAAAAGCTGGAACACCAACCCCAAAAAACCTGCAGGAAGCAGTAGCTCACAGGGCAGCAGAACATGACTGCCAACGGACACTTCTCCCGAACCAACGCCCTACTCTAGAAGAAAGCAAAGCACATTCAGCCGTGGATTTCACCTACTGAAGATAAAGGCACACTCGCTTACCCTGTGGCTGGAAGCTGAAAGGATCCACAGTGTTACCTGCAACAGGGTCCTGTTGACACCAAAGGGTTCCCAGGGTTCTTCTGGGACCTGGCTTCTCCCAGGACAGCAGCAAGGTGGTCTCCTCCCCTCTGCTCAAGCAGCTGCACTACTTCCTCCAAAAATCCTGAGATGACAAAGACTAAGGAACCTGTTTGTGGTAGGCACCCCCCTCCCGTTTTGGGGAGCGTCCCCTCCTCTCCCCGTGAGAGCGCAGGGGCACCCAAAGTGCTTTCTAAAGACACCCCAACATCTCTGGCGTTGTGGTTCACGGTTAAATAAACAGGTTGTTTGCACACCAATCATCTTACAAGTTTAGCATCTCAGTAAAGGATGTTCTCATAGCAAGGCTTCTGCGGGGAATTCAGCATCGGCAGCCTAAAGTACTCAAAAACCAACATGATTTGAACAACAGTAATCTACCTAAGCTTTTTTTTCTTTATTCTTTAAACCTAGCAGGGGATTGTTGTGACTGTGTCATGACTTGAACGACTGTTTCCAAGCACGGACGACACAAGGGAACAGAAAGCCAGATCGGTTTTTCTCTTCTGCTGCCCTTTGTGCACGCTGACAATGACAACGTTTGGTCGCCTTCTAATCAACAACAGTCCTGAAGTGCAAGGATTTTTTTCAGGCAGAGATTTCCAATTAAGATCCGTTTTGCAGTGCTACATAGCTGCACATGCCATCTCCATCCTCTGAAACACCCCGACACCAAGTCCGAACTTACTGGCAGTTGAGGCATCAAGACACAAGGGCTGCAGCTGTCTTCCACGAACTCTTCCGTCGCAGATTACATTTCCTTGAGCCATCCTGCACTCCATCTGAAATACCAGGTCAGGCCAGGATGAAGGGACAAGGAGCTGAAATCATACATTTTACTGCCAAGTAGCACTTAGGTTGACACAGTAAAGGGGTCTCCAGGCAATCAAAATGCACACTTTCGTTCAGATAACCATCTCTCCGGTACTTCCCAATCCCAGGAAGTAGCAGGTAACACCTACTCTCCATTTCCTAGGGAGCCCCTCTATACTTGTTTCATGCTTCTTACAGCATTCATTTAAAATCATTTCCAATCCAGGAAATCACACCTCGTATTTCAAATTTTGAAGAAAAGGACTCCCCAGCCGTCCATTTACATCTTTATTGTTTCTCTGCAACACCCCAGTCTTCCAACACCAAGGCAAAGCTTGCAAACAATTCCAAAGCACCGAACTTTCAACTCAGATTTATTTCCGGTTTATAAAGAAAATAATTTTATACCAGTAACTTGAAAAAACCAAGTCAAATAGAAAACTTTCAACAAATAACTTAAAGTGTTTTTGAACAATTTTACTTTGCTCATTTCATTAAGCGGCAGGTATCGTACAGAACTGCCAGAGAAACGGTGGTGTTGAAGTCTACTTACGCGTCTGACACAATTTTAGGTTAGACCCAAGCACGGAATATTCAGAGCACCTCAAACACGCTGAGCAATACAGACAGGTAATAGCATAGCCCAAATGCCGAAGCATCTGCCTATTTCATACGCAGTTTTAAAAGCACTTCATGAAGTTGCATGAGTTCCAGCCGACATCACATAATTGACTTCCAAAGATGCTTATTGCAGAGTACGTTTTTCAAATAAATTTACAAGAAAGAGTATTATTCTTCGGGCTGTGGGAAATGGCTAGCATACCAAAGCTGAAGGCTTGGCTCCAGGGGTGTCAAGAGGGTTTGCACCACTGACACCACTGATGCCCGGATTTCTTTTATCCATCCACTCACTCTTCTGTGAGATAAAAGGTGTAAAGGCCAGCTCAGATTTACAAAATAGCTATTTGAAAAAATATTTCCTCGAGGCACACGTGCAATATGAAAGCCGAGTTATCACAGATATCAAAACTACAGCCTTTAGTACTATTCCATAGGGAAGTCACAGATACATTTGCAGCAAAAGCAAACCCGAACAGAGACGAGAGCACCACTGTTAAACTTTGCCGAGTCCCTTCTCAAGGCTACGTAACGGTGTTCTGGGAAGAAAGGCATCAGCACTTTCCTTTCTCTATTACTTTCCCAGGTAAAGGTACGGTATCACATTTTTAATGAAGTTATCAAAATAAATGTGTCTGTACAAGTGACTTGCTTCATAACTACATGTATACTCCAACAGCCATGACTTAAGTATCCGTGACCTACAGATCAATAAAAATGTTTCAACGTTCACGTAGGTCTAGTGATGAGAATTATGACTTCTCAGTATGAACAGATTCATTAATAATTATTAAGTCTCATCTCGAGAAGCTGAAGATCACCTGGGCATTCTTATTAAAAGCAGTGGCAGAATACTTGACTGCTGAAGGGCATCTCACCAAGGTTCACATTTTTACGTTAAAGCCATAATCTGATAAAAACTCCAAAGAGCAGAGCTAAATATAATGCCATTAAAACCTTTTAAGTTTTAGATTTGAAATCAGAGGTACAAATGTAAAGTTTTAGCTATATTCATATGAAAAGTTAATAGGCTTCAGCTTTATTCTACTCACTATCAACTACATCCCTTTGGTTTTCCGTAATGTTCTGTCTACCTATGGTATACCAACTGCACGTGCTCCAGCGTGTGCGCATCCATACGCTCTCGGCTCACTGGACATGCATGCCAGCTCCTGTCCAGAACCCACCTCTGCGGTATGACCTTCTCCCTAACAGGTGTTACTGGCCTGAAAGCAGTGCTGTGTTAACGCAGCTCTGAGTTTCAGAAGTGGAATTAGCCTTGGCCTGGCCGCAATGAGCCAGCACTAGTCTGCAAGCACCGGAATAGATAACACGCCTCCCAAGTAAGGGGCTGAAGAAGTACATTCCTGGAAAGATGCTGAGCAACTTATTTCTTCAGCTGAACTTGGCAAAGCAGTACACCTTGTAGAATCAAACGTTAATTTGCTGAAGAAATTAAGGCCAATATAAGATACGTTAATTTTCTTTTTAATTTCTGCTCACAAACTATTATACAAAAAAGGTAAAACCAATTTCAACCACTACGCACAAACTAAGAGCCTGACCACTCTTGAGGGTTGACAGTCCTTCCGGTAACTGTCTTACCTGAAGCATACTGAGTCCGCTGCTCATTCTTTCATGTTCCCCAAGCTGTTAAAGATGAAATGTAGCCACAGAATGCTTCACAGTTAAGGCTTAGGGTCATGTGATAACTGAAATGAATCTAAGCATGGATAACTGCCTTCCTTCTTGGCAACAAATCTCACACTACGCTGTAGTGAGTTGGGTGAAAAATAAATCAACAACAGATGACAAGTCATCTGCTAGATCCATTTCTTTATTATGCTAAGCCCCTTTTAGCAGCAGCAGCCTCTGATGCTGCACAGGGAACTCACCACTGCTACGTGTAGCCAAACCACAAGGAACAAGAAATGGAGCAGCAGTGTCGGAGTCACGAATGTTATTAATTCAAAAAAACCTTCTCCTCAAGTGAAGGGATAGTGCTCAAATTCAGAGCTGTGCCACCTCTTCTGCTCAGACCTACAACTCTGCTCCCAGAGAGCTACTCACCTGCTTTAACTCATCAACTTGAAACAACTCACCGTCTGTGAGACCACTTTGGTGTCTTTCACTGTTTCAACCATCATCCCATTTTGCTTATGGCATTTTCCATCCACAGAGATCTTCCATTGCCAAACAGTTTAAGACAGATGGTCTTATAAATTTTACACACATTGCTCCAAATCCATAACATGCTTAAACCAAGCTCCACAGACTCATCTCAAGTTTGCACAGTACAGAAAAAGATTATAAACCCCCAATGAAATCATGCAAAAAAACCCCAAACCCATATCAAGGTAACATATCTAAATACAAAATAAACCAAATAGAACACCAAAATAATACATAAAGTCCGATTTTGTTCAAGGTCTTGAATAACAAAGTATTCATAATTTTCTTGTGCTGGGGTTTCTTCATGCTTTTTTTGTTTAATTTTTAATTTTTTTTAAACACACAGAGTTTGAAATAAAGCAAAATAAGTCTTAATTCCTTCCCCAAATCCTCGTTCTTCAGATATCAAAGGAAGTCTGTGCTCTTAATGGGCATTTAGTGTACATATTTATACTTAGACTAAATATTTTATTTCCTCTCATGTAGGAGAGTAACTCAAATTCCAAAATTTACCACATTAACACAAAAGTGAATCAATACAATATGAAAACACCTGAAGAATATTCCCATCAATCTTTTTAACACAAATTATTTCTAGTCCATTTTAAGTTGTGTGACATATGCCAAAATAAATCTCTGAGACTTATCCTTGTCCTTACTACACCCAAAAATATATTTGATTACCAGTCCTCTCACTTTAAAGGCATCAGTGAAAATCTACATCATTCTGACAGCACATCAGATAAAAAAAATGCACCAAATCCAGGTTTAAAAAGCCTACGACTGTTAGGTATTATGCAGTTACGTAAACGGTAGGAATGTGTAACTTTCTGAAGTAACACAATCAATCTAACTTCAGACGTTAAATCATGAATATGCTCAACTGATCATTTGACAGAGAACCAAAAAGCGCCTGATACAATGACTTAGTATCTTCACCTCTAAGCTTCTACATCAACCGCTTCAGTCCTGGACATCAAAGTAGTCAATTACCGGCTCTTCTTTTAGCGGTTTGGATAAACCGCTGTTTCCACTGCTCCTGAAATTGTAAGAATATCAGATGTTACTCACCTGCATGAAAAGCAAGATACAAAGTGATTGAGACCCCAAACTCCCACAGTGTCTCTGTGTGAACATGCAGACTGCAACGGTAAACGGCATGCACTTCTGAATTATGTTTCAATGGAAGTACCTTAATGCTCCCAAAAGCCTTCGTTAACAGATTTTTGGAGAAAACATACTTTATTAAATTAATGTACATCAATGTGTGGCTGAACTGATACAGTACGTTTGGGGGTTTTAACAGAAGATACCATATACTGGTAATATTTATTACAAAAATGATACTGTACTGAAGACTAAACGTTCAACATGCCTTTTTAAAAGAAAGAGCAAAAGAAATACTGTTGAAGTGAGGTAATAATCAAATCTGCTTGCTTTTAATAGCAAGAGTAACAAAAAATATATGGTAATACCAAATCCAAAGATTTTTTTCCATAAGGCAGTATGAGATCTTCCAGAAGATTTTGTGGAATTAAGCACTTCCAAAGAAATTTTACTTCTAGTAATTAAAAATAAATAAAAGAGGGCTTTAGACATTTATTTTTTCCACGTAATCCCCTTTTCATTAGTGTCACTGAAGACAGAAATCCCACAGAAGTAAGTGGAAATGAAGAGTAACAACCTTTTTAAAATTCACATTGAGCTACACCATAAGCAGTCATGCTAAACATGAGTTTTGCTCAAAATGCTTAGCTGTGAAACAACTTAAATTTTAAATTTAAATACCCAATAGCTACTGCAATATTTACTGCAAAATCAAGCTGTCCCTTTCTGCAAATGGTACTTGACAGAACATTAATTTCAAATGTTATTTGGAAATAACTTGGGGGGGGGGGAAAAAAGAGTTCTGAAAGGTAAACCTGAAAAAAGAATAAGCCATCCATCAAAAAAATTCATAACTATGAGGTTACTACAGGTACCTGAAGCTGGTAGGTCATACAAAGTAACGACTGTTCTATTAGACTATTCACCAAGAAGCCTTGTATGTCCCACCTTCAGTAGCTAAAACTACCTGAGAAAAATGGTAGTTCATCTTTTAGCCAATTGTGTAGTCATATCTACACAAGAAACACACATTTACTACCTGTCCAAATAAACCATTTTATGCCAGTAAAACATTACTCTCTAACACAGAATGGTTAAAGGTAAAAAGCATCCCCAAACTTACAAAACAGCCACCTCTTCCCAACTACCTATTCTTTATTCAAAAAAAAAAAAAAAAGTAGTCCGCAACATTTGTTGCATCACTACTCCCACAACACAGAGTCAATCCCCTATTTATTTTGCACTTCATTTCAGGTTTACTTCTGTGGAAAGAAAATCTTAATGCAGGCTGCAAGCTCCTAAGCTGTGTGTGGGCTGGGAAGAGAGAGACACGGCGGGTATAAAGTTTAAGCTCAGGAACACTCTCCTCAGGTAACTCAGCACAAAATTGAAGAATATGGCTTTAAAATCAAATTCCTTACTTATCTGTTTGTTTGTAATGAGGAATAGGAGGTGGAGGCCTGCTCTGCATTTCTTTATCTAGCACAGAAGTTAAGGTATTGCTTGGACAGATGGATTTCCCTCTAGAGAAATAAAAGAAAAGTTATTTAATTCAACGGGATATTGTATTCATTACAAAGATAGGGCAAAAGAGTTGCAAAAGTAGCAGTTCTGGTGTCAGAGTTCATACTTGTATACTTAAATCACCTATTCAAATATTTAATTTTCCAACCCTGGAGACCAATAGTATGCAAAGCCCATTTTCACCACCCAGAAGATGACATCCAGTATTCTGAACATCTGTTGATCGCTGCCTATAGAAGACGCAGAAGCAGCTTACTAGACCTGAGTGTTGGTGCCCAGACTCCTTCCTTTCCGCATGGAAAGTGCACAACTCCTTTCTACTACAAAGCATACAACATGATCAACTGTTAAAACACCAAAAACTGCAATACCTGTGTTTTAAAGCAGTATACAACTGTTCTTGCACAGAACAGATGCAAGACCTGAACCAACAGCTTAATAGCGTAACTCGGCATTGTGCGAACACAGTGCACTGCATCTTCACAACCTGTTCTCTAATGTTGTCAAAACACGTTCTTAGGCTCTGGTAGTAATTCGTGTTAAACTTGTTTATCACTCTGCACCCAAAGTAGCCCCTCTAAGTAGCACTCTCCCAGGAACAATGCAGCAACACGGCCTCTCCCTTGTCAGCTGGCTGTGCTGGGTTCAGCCAGGAAAGAGTTCACTCCCTTTCCCCTGGCTGCTGGGAAGCTGTTCCTGACTGCAGAGAGCATCACTAATCAGGTCTCAGCTGGGCTCGGCAATTCCTGCACCAGATTCAAGGTCTGTCTCCCCTTCTGACCCTGCAGCTGCGTTCCCAGCTCTCGCTGTCTGGCTACAGGCAGTGCAGGGACACACAGCTCAGGCACCTGACCCCAACTGACCAAGGGAGTGTTTCATCCCATAGTACGTCACGCTGGGGGCAGAGGCGAGGAGGGGTCCGGGAGCCATTACTCCCTCTCTCTCGTTCACTCCCGGACACTTGCTGACCCTCTCCCTGACTCCTGCGTTAGCTGCTTTGCTCACTCCTCTGCTGGCTCCTTTGGGAGGGAGTTGGTGTGTTGGTTTAGTTTTCCCACGCGTGCTATCGCTGACAGGGTTCGTTCGGAAGCGGCTGCAGCAGCGCTTGGGCTCCAGCCCTCAGGCTGCAGCTCTCGGCCTGCGATCGCGCTCAGGCTCTCTGGGTCTGACTCTCACCTGTTGTGTATCGGCCAGTGGGTGGTGAGAAATTGTATCATATTGTATCACGTGTTTTGTTTTCCATTATTTTAATTATTTATTAGTAGTAGTACTTGTATATACGAATTTATATTCAATTAGTAAATAGTTCTTATCTCAATTTTACGAGCTTCCTTATTGCTTTTTCCTCCGATTCTTCCCCTCCACTGGAGGAGCGGAGGGGGATTTGTGAGAGCAGCTTCATGGTATTTTGCTAGCCAGAGTTAAACCACAACACTGGCCTGGGTCAATAAGGTCAGAAAAATAATATTATGCATCAGCGGGGGGAATAAAAATCAGCTCTTCCAGCCCTCCACACTAGTTCCAAGCTACAATATGATCGATCACACAATGAAATATCTCACTTGTGCTTGTCCCATCTCCAATGCAAGGGCATTCTTGAACTGTCTCTAGTCTAACCTCACTGAAAGGAAACAAAATCCTGGCTGAAGAGGAATAATAGAGAAAATCTGGGTAGGACTGTGGCAGGATGTAGTTTTCTGACTGAGAACAATGTGCAGGGACCCTGTCACCTTACTGAAAAGTCCTCTTGCTTGTGAGGAGACTGACCCTATTGTTCTTCCTGGAAGAAACAGGAAAAGTCTGGGTCTCACAGGGATGACTCTTCTAAAAAACACTTCCAGGATGTCTCAAGATGCTTGAACACTGGTCACGACATAACAAGCAGACACCCCTTAACAGGCTCTGGCAATCAGAGTTATTTGTAGGAGGAGGAAACTCATGAGTAAAAGACTTGAAGAAACCACTGACAAAGACAGTGCATGTGCCTACTTGTCCTTTTCACCATACCAGTCTGGAGGTTACCTCTGAGCCTGGCTCAGAAGGAATCTGGTATTGCAACTGCTCAACAGATGGTGACTGCAAAGATGGCCAACAGGGAAGCACGGAGAAGGGCACTTGCAAGGATGCACTTGGGGTATTATACTTCAAATGACACCGGAACTGTAATCCAGATGGACCTTGGCAGTCATACCGGGAATGCTCTCTGTGTGGTTAGACATGGGCGGTGCTGTACATCACCGACTCTCACGCAGCTACTGTGACCGACTCTTACTCATGGGGTGGGACAATGATGGCAGCAGGGGCTGAGGGCAAAGCAGAGTTGTGGTGTTTGGTCCTAGATACCCAGAAGAGGAAGAAGGCCAGTTGAAGGAAGCTTTCTTAGGACCAAGGAAACTTTCTCACTGTGACCAACCCGTATGGCTACGTTACCACTTCAGTGACACAGTGGGGGAGCGTGAAGGGGAAGAATGGTCTCTTCACCTAGCATCATTTTGAATTATCTGTACTCTGAGAAGCCCATAATAGGAATCTGTGGGGAATGCTGGGAAAAGAATGAAACAAAATGAATCAAACTACTTGGACTCTGGTGACTACTAGCCCCTGGACTTGAAGGAGCTGTTGTGAAATACTGAAAAATACCATCCTGGAACTCAAGCCACCGATTGTCTGAGGCTTCAATGTTTTTTATGTCTTCAAGACCAGGCTGGATGAGGCTTTGAGCAACCTGGTCTCGTGGAAGGTGTCCCTGCCCATGGCAGGGGTTTGGAACTAGATGATCTTTAAGGTCCCTTCCAACCCGAACCGTTCTATGATTCTGATTCTTAAAGGGGTGGCAAATAAAAAGACAATGAAAAGAAGCTTTGGCTAAATCCACTGAAATAAACATTGCTGTGCAGCTGAAGACTATTTTTAGTAGATCACCCATTGTCCGTAAGAGTGGCAGAGGTGAAATAGCAGCATGTGTATTCTGCAGGGGAAGCT